ATCTAAGTCACTTGACTATTACTGATAGGCGGTCTCATGTCATATCAAATCTCAAGAGCCACAGGCATAAATAAATGCTCAGAACAGCCCTTGTGCAGTCTTTAAGATAGTAGAGCCAGGCAGTGAATCACAGGACAAACGCATGGAAATATTTTAAATCATTCATTTCCATTTGCTTCTATACAATTTCATTAATATAGTCTTTAATTTTTTTAAAGTTTATTTGTTTTGAGAGAAAGAGAGAGAGAAAGCACAAGAGAGAGGGGGTGAGAGAGGGAGAATCCCAACTAGGCTCTGCACTGACAGCGCATGGGGCCAGAACTCACAAACTCTGAGATCATGACCTGAGGCGAAATCAAGAGTCGGATACTTAACCGACTGAGCCCCCTAGATGCCCCAATTTCATTAATCTTTTTAAAAAAGCAACTAAACTTTGCAAACATTTTACCAAGGTGTCAAATAAGATAGGATGCAAAATGTGTAACTTCCAAAATTAACTGGTTGAATTCAAGAAATCAAATATATGGGAATACAAGCTGGTGCAGCTACTCTGGAAAACAGTATGGAAGTTCCTCAAAAAACTAAAAATAGAACTACCCTACAACCCAGCAATTGCACTACTAGGCATTTATGCACAGTACACAGGTATGCTGTTTTGAAGGGACACATGCATCCCCATATTTATAGCAGCACTATCCACAATAGCCAAAGTATGGAAAAAGCCCAAATGTCCATAGATGGATGAATGGATAAAGAAGATGTGGTATATATATACAATGGAGTATTACTCGACAATCAAAAAGAATGAAATCTTGCCATTTGCAATTATGTGGATGGAACTGGAGGGTATGATGCTAAGAGAAATTAGTCAGAGAAAGACAAATGTCATATGACTTCACTCATATGAGGACTTTAAGAAACAAAACAGATGAACATAAAGGGAAGGGAAACAAAAATAATATAAAAACAGGGAGGGGGACAAAACATAAGAGACTCATAAATATGGAGAACAAACAGCATTACTGGAGGGGTGGGGGGGGATGGGCTAAATGAATAAGGGGCACTAAGGAATCTACTCCTGAAGTCATTGTTGCACTATACGCTAATTTGGATGTAAATTTTAAAAAATAAAAAATAAAACAAGTTATAAAAAAATCAAATATAGTATTAATATCATATAAGGTCTTCAAAAATCAACAAAAATGACATGAGAGTGGTCACTGAGAATTTAATTGTGATCACACCAGTGTTGCATTTGGTAAAGATAAAAAACCGCTAAAACAGTAAATGACCATATTATAAAAAAGAAACTATTTCTGTAACCTAACAAGTGAAGTCTTCAAGACCACACATCTTGGAAAATTTGCTTATGTATATTCAAAAGTGGTACAATTTTCAAAATACAACCATATAATGTATAAATCCAAGATACTAAATACTTAGTATTTAGTATGCTTAGGGTAATCAAAAGATCTTGAAATCTATTAAGCCTGTGGCTTAATATCTGTGGCTATCCAGATAACAAGAATGAAAGTTCAGGATTATCAAGATTAATCAACTTTTCATTAGAACCTACATACGTATTTCCTAGTAGACACCAACAGGACTGGAAAAGAACTGATCTAAATGGTTAGGAGCAGTATCTTTCCAGAATATCAAAATCACATAGGCTGTTTAAGACAATGCATATCAATAACAATATCAAAATTAAATACAATTGTGTGTTTTTGTCACATTTGCTAAGCATGTCTCAACACTGTACCTTTCCTGGCAACTAAAACACACATGGAAAAATCGTTTGTATGTAACTATATACAAGGGTATATAGATTCAAATGCCATTCAATGTGGGCACCAGCCAATCAGAACAGATTCCCAGAAGCACACCACATCTCAGCAAAAGCAGTTGCCTTGCACACACACATACATCAGTGTGTATATATACACACACACACACACACACACACACACACACACACACACACACACACTCTGACCTGTGGGTTGGTTTGATTGTAAGCCACTTTTTAAATGAATTTTTAAACACCAAACACACCAAGATATCTATTTTGTAAACATAATTCAGGAAATGTAAAGTTGCTGAAATGCAACTTTGCATTAATTGCATTGCTTTGCATAAAACCATGATACTACCTGAAAATCACATTTCCTGCTTGGTCTGCCTTCCAGGCTTTCACCAAAGCAAAATCTCCCGTAATTGCTTCCTCCAAAATAAAATGCTGGCCATTAAACTCCCTCACCTGCAGGAGACAAAGAGGGCACTGTCAGGTATTTGCAGAAGTCTTGTTTGGCTGTGGTATGTGCTCTGATAGAAGCAGATAATAAGGATACGAGCCTAGTCAGGGAAGGTTTCTCAGAGGGAGGACAATCTGAACTGAGGACTCAAGGGTGAGGAGTGGTAGGCAATTAGGATTTGATCAAAGTGGTGGAAAGGGAACTGGGAACAGCATGTGCAGAGACTCAGCAGCAAGAGAGAGCTTAGTAAACTGGAGGAACTGCAAGTTCTATATGCCAAAGGCACAGACTGTGTTAGCACTCATTATTTATGTGCATAAGTTATATACATTGAACATTTCCTCCACCCCAGGAAAAAAAACTATATAAGCCTCATAAAATCGTCAATGTATTTTGTACATAAAATAGTTATAAAAATCCATTCATCTCTAATTAATCTATAACCATCTGTTGAGATATTAATTGGAATTCCTAGAACCTGTAGATGACATTGGAGAACTGACGTGCCACATCTTTCCACCCGTGAGTTAAATACACGCCTATATTTTTTGAAATCTCCTTTTACTTGTTTGAATTGCTTGATAATTCTTCCCCCAAAAAAACTTTGTATACGTTTTTTAGGTTTATTCATAGGTACTTCATGGTGTTTTTATGCTACTAGGAAAGTTCTATGTTATTCTATTACACCTCCTTTTCTATCGTTACTATTTAATGGAATGCTATTGACTTCTGTATTGTATTGCCTTTTAATTCTACTACACATGGAAAGGGGAGCGGGAAGAAGCAGCATAAAGTAAAACTATGCCATGGCATTTTGTTTCTTTTTTCTTCTTGGGTGTTTAGCTCTGGGAATTGAAACAAAGAAAAGAAGAAACAACGTCAATGCTGTGCCCCATCCTACACGGGATTGGAGCCATAGGAAGGCAGAGCTCCATTCTCGCTCATACTACGCCCTCTAGTGGACAAACTGCATGCATATCACAGAAAACTTCAGGAGAAAGTTCTGTATACTTTTCTTTATGGTTTAAAGCAGAAATCCCTTCTTAATCAACAGCTTCTTTAGAGGCTTTATCCCACTTTCTGCTAGAAAATATTAATGAATTTAGGGGATCACTGATGGAGGATCTTATTAATATGAAACTTAGATAAATCATACAAAAGCTATTTATAAACTGCACATCAACATACAGCTTTTTCAAGAGCCTTGTGTATTTCAAAGTCATTACTGTAAACACTAATGATAATAGATGAGAGTATGTTGCATACAGATCTGGAAACCTACATACAGATCTAAATATATGCTAACCCAGGGCAATGTGAAAAAAACGACTTTTTTTCCCCTATTCGAATTATACAATTTCCTGATGGGTCTACAAACCAGCAGTTACTGAGTGCTGACATTCTAAAATTTTAAAACAGGGAAGGGATTGGTTTTGCCACACTATTACTCTCACTTGAAAGAGTTCTGTGTGCCCGGTCGCCACTTCCTCTTTTTTCAGCCCTTTCTCAAATCCACTCTGATCAAATTTCTATCATTCCAGAAAAATCCTCCCTTCCAGAAAAATCTTTTTTTTTCTTTTCAAGTTTGTTTGTTTATTTAAGTAATCTTTACACCTGATGTAGGAACTCATGACTCCGAGATCAAGAGTCACATGCTCTTCTGACTAAGTCAGCCAGGCACCCCTAGAAAAATCATTCTTTAAGGTCCCCAGGGCTCAATGCCCCCTCCTGTTACGCCACCTCTTCTCAATGGGACAGTGCTGATCACTCCCCACTTTGTAAGATCTCCCTTGTATTTCAAGTTGCCACACTCCCCTTGATTTTCTCTTCACAGACTAGATACTTTCCCCTTCTTTGCTTCTCTTTTCACTCTTCCCACCCTTCAAATGCAAAAGAGGTTTTCTCTACCTGCACTCCAGCCCTAGACACTCATCCAGTTCCACAGATTTAACTACTACACGCTGATGGCTCCAATCCCCTATCCCAGCTCTAAACCCTCCCCAAGCTAGAGACTACCGAGCAGCTTCTGCTGGAGCCTAAAGGACATGTCAAACGCACCCAGTCCCAGACAGGGCTCTTTGATCACCCCCGTACTTCACCCATCTCAAAAAGCAGCAGGCTTAGTTCTTGTCTTTCCTCATAGCCCACAACCAATCCATTGGTAAATCCTACTAGCTCTGCCATCAACGTATGTCTAGATTCCAACCCCTTCCCCACAACTTCCACCATTTCACCTCAGTCTAAACAACTTCCACTCCCACCTGGATGGATACAACAGTCTCTTAAGCTCTCTCACTGCTTCTGCTCTTGTACCCCTACCAGAAAACTACCCAGCAGCCACAGTGATGCTTCCAAAATGGAACTTGGACTACATTACTCTCCCACTTCGGAACCTCTCATTGCACTCAGTAAAACCCAAACTCACTATCTGGCTGCAGCCTCGTTTCAGCCTCCCATCCTACCACTCTCTGCCTCATTTATGCTGTTCCGGTCTCACTGTCCTGCTGTTCCACAAACTGGGCTATCCTGCCGCAGGACCTTGTCTTCTCTCCTCCTTCTAACCACAGCACAACCCTATAATCCTTGCCCGACTCATTCTCGTTTTATTTCTGTATCTACCAACTGTCACTTCCTCAGAGAAGTTTCCCTGGACCCAATCTGGAACACAACCTCCCTGGCCACTGACCATTCTCTCTGCCCTTACACTACGGGATTTTTCTTCACAGCACTTTCATCACTGACATTACGTGTTTGTTAATTCATTCCTTGTCAGTTCTTCCACTAGAGGGGGCCTGGGTCTAGATCATCGCCTTTTCTACCATACTTAGGCTAATGCCTGGCAAAGAGTAGGACCTTAATAAATGTCACTGAATTAAGGCATTTACTCACCTCCTCTTTCTACCACAAGTAGGGGAAGTAAAGAGCTAACAAGAATCATTTCAAGAAATTATTTGTCACATTCCTAGGTAATTGAGACAAAAGTACAAAACTATTAGGTTTGTGCACCTGACTCCAGGCAACAATGAACCCAGGCATTCAGGACAGACTCTAGTCTATCCTAGGTTCTCCCAAGGCGAGTTAATGCTGTAACTTCTAGCAAACTCTCAAAGTATTAACCCAATTTTTCTGAGCATCGTTATCTACATCACTAAGATCCATTTTAATAATTAGACTCCTGTCTTACTTTGTCAAAAACTTTTTAAACCTAATTAGGTAGTAAAGGAGCAAGATAGAATATAAAAAAAAAAAAATGTTAATCAAAACTTTGAGTCAATATAGGTCATTCTAAGCAGAAAGGCAAAGCTCCAGATGGAGGACACTGCTAGAGACAAACAGTGAACAGCAAGGGGCATGTTCAATGACCTTTTATCTTCTCTCAAAATATGGAGGTGCAGAGCTAACATCCCTATAAGCAAAAAAAAAAAAAAAAAAAAAAAAAAAAAAGCTTATAAAAATCGCCGTAAGTGATAAGAGGTCCCTTGATTTACCAAGTTGTCACTTCCTTAGAGCTAAGCTGAGCATTTCTGCAAACCTGTGTTACTGCTCTTGAGCCATGTGGCCAGAGAGAAGCAAGAGGTACTGAAAATACAGTAATGGAATACCGGCCTGTGTAATTTTTAAAACTGGCTCAAATCTAAGTATCTCAAATTTCTATATCTAGAGTTCCATTCTTTTCTAGTATGTGAGTGAAGCTACCTAGCGTACTCCATCCTACCCAGCACTGTAAATATAACTGAAGTACTCCATCAGCTCCGTATGTCCACTATACAAAATGAAGGATAAAGGAGACGGTATAAATGTTCTATTATGTAATTACAACTGCCCCCTACTTTTCAATATTGCATGCAAACATACGATGTCTTTTTTTTTTTTTTTAATTCCTTCATCCACATTCAGTAGGGGCTTGAGCATGAAGAGTTTGCTATGATATATATCACACATCTACTCTATCTTCCACATACGCATAGTCAGAAGTTATAAATGCTCTTACAATTTGTTAAAACTTATCAGAAAACTAGTCTTGGCTCACACATCTTATATAGATTACAGTTTCTTTTCTTCTCATTTATTTATTCGAGTTTCTCTATGTGATTTTAATTACTAGAGGATGCTCAGTTTTAGCTAGAAATGTTACCTAGCTATTCACATAGATGAAGGGCAGTGTCTTCTCACACCTAAGTGATTCAATCCTTATCTACCCACTAAGTCCAGTTGGAACCCTACACTGAAAGGGAGTCCCAGCGCTGCCTGGACCAGTCCTTCTTACCTCTCTTGGCTTACTGGCAATGGCAATGCTGCCATCCTTGTTGTATCTGATCGGTGACCCTCCTTGTTGCACCAGGGTCCCGTACCCGGTGCTGGTGTAAAATGCAGGAACGCCAGCCCCACCTGCACGAATCCGCTCCGCAAGCGTGCCCTACGAGTGAGCAATCGGCACACCATAAGAAGTTCATTAAGCACGCTTCTGTACGTGGATACAGAAACACGTACAGACATGGTTCCTCTCTCTAGAAGTTTATCATTCTAAATCGGACCGAGCACTGTATGTTGCTGTATTTCACAAACACTGTATGCTACATTAATTTAAAACAAGTACTGCACCTCTAGACAACAATCTCTCAATTCTTTTTTTTTTTTAACATTTATTCATTTGTGAGAGACAGCGTGAGTGGGGGAGGGGCAGAGAGAGAGGGAGACAAAATCTGCAGCAGGCTCCAGGCTCTGAGCTGTCAGCACAAAGCCTGACGCGGGGCTTGAACTCATGGATGGCGAGATCATGACCTGAGCCCAAGTCGGACACTCAACCGACTGAGCCACCCAGGTGCCCCAACAATCTCTCAATTCTTAACCCACATTCAAATGTAACTGCTTGTTTGTATAATCAGGATCTCAGCTTTCTGGCGCCCACTGCTCTCCTGACATCATAATCTACATCAGTCTATCTGTAAAATCAATTTTTAAGCCTGAAGTATATAATTTATATTTATTGAAAAACATGTATTTAAATGTTGTGTTTTACTGTGTGCCATATGTAGGTATAGCCTGAATCTTATCATTGATAACAATGCCATTATTATATAATAATATGTTCACTTTGTTTTATTCCAAAACATTCTTATAAGCATTTCATCTAACACATTATCTAATGAAGAAAAAATCCGAAGTTAAGCAAAGATTATACAACATATAGGTAATTTGTTGGTTTTTCTGTTTGTTTGTTTGTTTATTTATTTTTGAGAGAGAGAGGGAGACAGCAAGCAGGGGAGGGGCAGAGAGAGAGGAAAACGGAAGATCTGAAATGAGTTCTGTGCTGACAACACAGAGACCAATGTGGGGCTCGAAATCACGAACTAGGAGATCATGACCTGAGCCCAAGTCGGACACTTAACTGACTGAGCCACCCACATGCCCTAGTAATTTGGTTTTTAAAAGCTAAGAGTACTTTAAATTCTACCTCCGAGTAGAAACAGCTGTATGCAAAGTTTCTTGTACCCTCTTTTGATCATCTTTATCACATTCCTAGGTACCAGAGATTTAAACCTGATTTCCCTAGCTCCCTCCTTCCCCCAACTACTTTTCCACCCAATTTTCCCCACAGGGGAACAACTCTGGCCCTGAATATTTCCTGATACCCTCCCTAACACTGAAACCTATTGTTATGGTCTAGCTACATCATATTCATGCTAGATAACTGACTGGCCATTCAGTAGTAAGAATTGATTTAGGTATTAATGACAATATGTTAATATGGAAAACAAATTTCTACTTTATCTGTGAAAACAATTTCTACTTTAGCTGGGGCCTTCAAATACTAAACTCAAAGCAGGCACTAAAAGTTGGGACTTCAGACATTGAGTCATTGAAGTAGGTGGGATAATCTGGGGAAGGTAGGATTTGAGGCACAACTGAAAATCTTCCAGATAACTGTTTCTCCATTCCATTTAATGGACAGAGGTAACTCCATTTTGTTTTAAGTTAATAACATTCACAAAATTAAACCATCAAAACAACCATAATAACAGCCCCTACCATAAAGTATTTTTTATGTCCACCCTTCTTGAATACCTTTATTCCTTCTCTCTGTCCATCTGGGCAAAAGCCTAAAAGTGGACAATTTCTACATACAGGCTCTCTGCAGGTACCACCAGCCCCCTGCATCCAAACCCCGAAGGGAGTCCTCACCCCTACCACTTTATCAACGCTTCTCTGGCTCACAGGCTGCAAAACAAGGTGCCAGAGCCGATGTCTGTGTACCTGGCACAAAGTGGGCAGAGAGACACCGACCTCTTTCAGCTTAAAGAATATAAAAGAAATACTAAGGAACACCCATGTACATGCCCTCTGACAAAATAAGGGGTAATGCAAAAGATAAAAGAAGTAATTGAAATTATTTTCAAGGGCTCCACAACCCAGAGGAAAAGGGATCTCAACCTACAACGTGAAGAGGAAAAGTATATGCTATCGACTGAATTGTGTCCCCCGCAAATGCGTATGTTGAAGCCCTAACCCCCATGTGACTGTATCTGGAGACACGGCCTTTATGGAAGTCATTAAGGTTAAAGGAAGTCATAAGGATAGGGCCCTGATCCAATAGTATTAGTGTCTTTATAATAAGAGAGCCCAGAGTCCTCATTTGCAAGTGTGCGTCCTCTGTCTCTCCCCGCCCTCCTCCCCTCTACCAAGAATCACATCAGCCTGTACCTTGATCTTGTACTTCCTACCTGCCAGAACAATGAGAAATCACTTTCTCTTGCATGAGCCACCTAGTTTGTTACAGCAGTGCAAGCAGACTAAGACAGGATACCTTTTGTTATTTTCATTTTAAAGGAAAACCAGATAGGGGCGCCTGGGTGGCGCAGTCGGTTAAGCGTCCGACTTCAGCCAGGTCACGATCTCGCGGTCCGTGAGTTCGAGCCCCGCGTCAGGCGCTGGGCTGATGGCTCGGAGCCTGGAGCCTGTTTCCGATTCTGTGTCTCCCTCTCTCTCTGCCCCTCCCCCGTTCATGCTCTGTCTCTCTCTGTCCCAAAAATAAATAAAAACGTTGAAAAAAAAAAAATTTAAAGGAAAACCAGATAAATGCCAGGCACAGTGGGAGGCTGTGACAAACACCGCTCCCAACAACACTGCAGAGTGACAGAGCGTGACCCGCGTAATGTTGTATAGCCTCAGGTACAAGACGGTTCTCCCCTGCATTGCTGTCTCTAGACAAGCATATACTGAGAGTTAATTATTGATTTTTTTAATTCTGCTAGATCACATCATTACCAATGTAGTGAAGTTAGCGGTAATAATGATTCTGTTGACAAAAATAAAGCAGAGTGGTGGGTTCAATTTCAGAGATGAAGGCAGATGATGTCAAATTAGAAGACAAGTGCCTAGGGGCACCTGGGTGGCTCAGTCGGTTACGTGTCCAACTTTGGCTCAGGTCATGATCTTGAGGTTTGTGGGTTTGAGCCCCACATTGAGCTC